ATTTCTTTACCATTGCTGTAAAATTCACTCTTTATATCTCCAGATTGCACGTCCCATCACCTTTGCCCCATCCTTTTTCTCCTTCACTTTTCTGCAGTGATTTTCACTGTTATACTGTCCATTGAGGGTAGCAATAATGCTTTATTAATGATTATATTCTACACTGCTCCCCTCCCAGGAGTCAGCATAGCAATTTTTACTAAGTAAATATTCTATAAATAAGTACAATAAACAAACAGGCAGATTGAGCATCAGAGTGATTAAGAATTCAGGTTCCAGAGGCTATCTGCCTGGGTTTGAATATCATCTCTACCTTTTGCTAATGGTCTAATCTTGGGCAAAATAATCACACCTCTATTTCCATATCCTCATCTGCAAAATGGAGATAGTAATAGTACTTAATCTTTGGGATGGCTCTAAGAATAGAACATGATAATCCATATATAGCAATTAGCGCACTTGGCATATGGCACGTATTTTAATGTTTCTATTTTTAAGACTCAAAAATTCTCCTTCACCTTAATATGATATCGGTTAACATACGACGTGTCTTTATATAAAGTGTGTCCTCTGAGCTTTATTGTTACCTTCTGAAGTAAACAAGGCAGAAATTACCCACTTTTACTGATGAATCCCCTGAAGACCCACAAGTTCTAGGGGGCAGTGTAGAGCACAGTGAAAAAGAATGGAGTCCTGGCTCTGTACCTTCCAAGTTAAAGGATCTTGAGAAAGTTGCTTCTCCGAGTAAACGGACTAATCACAGTACTTTACAAAAACAAAAACAAAAACAGAATAAAACTGTTGAAACTTACATGAGATAATTCACAGGGAATGCTAACCAATACTTCTGGTACCTTATAAATACAGCCTTTGCTCAGTATCCTTGGTGAACTGGTTCCAGGACTTCCCCTACCTCCATCATTCAAAGATCCAAGAATGCCCAAGTCCCTGATAAGATATGTAGTATATATTTGCACATAACCTATGCACATCTTCCCATATATTTTACTTTTTAAAATTTATTTACTTTTTCTATAGGTTATTGGGGTACTGGTGGTATTTGGTTACATGTTAAGTTCTTTAGTGGTGATTTGTGAGATTTTGGTGCACCCATCACCTGAGCAGTATACACTGCACCCTATTTGTAGTCTTTTATCCTTCACCCTCCTCCCACCTTTCCCCCCAAGTCCCCAAAGTTCATTGTATCATTCTTATGCCTTTGCATCCTCATGTCTGAGCTCCCACATATCAGTGAGAACATCTGATGTTTGGTTTTCCATTCCTGAGTTACTTCATTTAGAATAAGTCTCCAATCTCATCCAGGTTGCTGCAAATGCCATTAATTCATTTCTTTTTATGGCTGAGTAGTATTCCATTGTATATATATATACTACAGTTTCTTTATCCACTTGTTGATTGATATGCATTGGGTTGGCTCCATGATTTTGCAATTGCAAATTGTGCTGCTATAAACATGCATGTACAAGTATCTTTTTCGTATGATGACTTCTTTTCCTTTGGGTTGATACCCAGTAGTGGGATTGCTGAATCAAACAGTAGTTCTACTTTTAGTTCTTGAAGGAATCCGCACACTGTTTTCCCATACTGACTGTACTAGTTTACATTCCCACCAGCAGTGTAGAAGTGTTCCCTGATTGCTGCATCCACGCCAGCATCAACTGTTTTTAATTTTTTGATTATGGCTATTCTTGCAGGAGTTAAGGTGGTATCACATTGTGGCTTTGATTTACATTTCCCTGATTATTAGTGATGTTGAGCATTTTTTCATATGTTTGTTGGGCATTTGTATATCTTCTTTTGATAACTATCTATTCAGTTCCTTAGCCCACTTTTTAATGGGATTTTGTGTTTTTTCTTATTGATTTGTTTGAGTTTGTTGCAGATTCTGGATATTAGTCCTTTGTCAGATGCATAGATTGTGAAGATTTTCTCCCACTCTGTGGGTTGTCTGTTTACTCTGCTGACTGTTCCTTTTGCTGTGCAAAAGTTATTTAATTAAATCCCAAATATTTATCTTTTCTTAATTTTTGTTTTTATACTTTAAGTTCTGGGGTACATGTGCAGAATGTGCAGGTTTGTTACACATGTGCCATGGTGGTTTGCTGCACCCGTCAACCTGTCATCTACGTTAGGTATTTCTCCTAATGTTATCCCACCCCCGACAGGCCCCGGTGTGTGATGTTCCACTCCCTGTGTCCATGTGTTCTTACTGTTCAACTCGCACTTATGAGTGAGAACATGCAGTGTTTGGTTTTCTGTTCCTGTGCTAATTTGCTGCAAATGATGGTTTCCAGCTTCATCCATGGCCCTACAAAGGGCATGAACTCATTCCTTTTTCTGGCTGCATAGTATTCCATGGTGTATATGTACCACATGGGCATTTGGGTTGGTTCCAAGTCTTTGCTATTGTGAACAGTGCCACAATAAACATATGTGTGCATGTGTCCTTTGTTTTTATTGCATTTGCTTTTGGGTTCTTGGTCATGAAATCCTTGCCTAAGCCAATGTCTAGAAGGGTTTTTCCAATGGTGTCTTCTAGAATTTTTATAGTTTCAAGTCTTAGATTTAAGCCCTTAATCCATCTTGAGTTTATTTTTGTATGAGGTGAAAGATGAGGATCTGGTTTTATTCTCCTACATGTGTCTAGCCAATTATCCCAGCACCATTTGTTGAAAAGGGTATCCTTTCCCTGCTTTGTTTTTGTTTACTTTGTTGAAGATCAGTTGGCTTTCAATATTAGGTTTTATTTCTGGGTTCTCTCTTCTCTTCCACTGGTTTATGTGCCATTTTTATACCAGTATCATGCTGTTTTGGTAACTATGGCCTTACAGTATAGTTTGAAATCAAGTAGTCTGATGCCTCCAGATTTGTTCTTTTTGCTTAGTCTTGCTTTGGTTATGTGGGCTCTTTTTGGTTTCCTATGAAGTTTAGAATTGATTTTTAAGAAATTCTGTGAAAGATGATGGTGGTATTTTGGTGGGGATTGTGTTGAATTTGTAGATTGCTTTTGGCATTATGGTCATTTTCACAATACTGATTCTACCCATCCATGAGCATGGCATGTGTTTCCATTTTTTTGTGTCATCCATGATTTCTTTCAGCAGTGTTTTGTAGTTTTCCTTTTAGAGGTCTTTTGCCTCCTTGGTTAGGTATATTCCTAAGTATTTTATTTTTTGTTTGCAGCTGTTGTCAAAGGGGTTGAGTTTTTTATTTGATTTTCTGCTTGGGCGCTGTTGGTGTATGGAAGAGCTACTGGTTTGTGTACATTAATCTTGTATCCGGAAACTTTGCTGATTTTTTTTATCAGTTCTAGGAACTTTCTGGAGGAGTCTTTAGATTTTTCAAGGTAAATGATCATATCTTCAGCAAACAGTGACAGTTTGACTTCCTCTTTAGAGATTTGGATGCTCTTTATTTCTTTCTCTTGTCTGATTGCTCTGGCTAGTGCTTCCAGTATTATGCTGAAGAGAAATGGTAAGAGTGGACATTCTTGTCTTGTTCTTGTTCTCAGAGGGAATGCTTTCAACTTTTCCCCATTCAGTATTATGTTGGCTGTGGGTTTGTCATAGATGGCCTTTATTACATTGAAGTATGTCCCTTGTATGCAGCTTTTGCTGGGAGTTTTAATCATAAAGAGGTGCTGGATTTCATCAAATGCTTTTTCTGCATTTATTGAGATGATCATGTGATTTTTGTTTTTAATTCTGTTTATGTGGTGTATCACATTTATTGACTTGCATATGTTAAACCATCCCTGCACCCCTGGTATGAAACCCACTTGATCATGGTGGATTATCTTTTATAAATGTTGTTGGATTCAGTTAGCTAGTATTTTGTTAAGGATTTTAGCATCTATGTTCATCAGGGATATTCCACACTATTCTTGTGGAATAGTGTCAAAATGATTGGCATCAATTTCTTCTTAAACAATCTCTAGATTACTTATAATACCAAATGGTATGCAAACTCAATGCAAATAGCTTTCATACTATATTGCTTTTAAATATATATTATTTTTGTTGTAATGTATTTTTAAATGTTTTTTTTTTTTCTGAATATTGTCAATCTGTGGTTGGTTGAATCTGCAGATGCAGAACCCGGGAATACTGAAGGCCGACTATAGTTAATCAATGTTAATATTCTGTTTTCCATTTCTACGAAAATTTTATGTTCTCTGAATGTACATTTTGAATATACGTTACATAATTCAGTCTAGTATGCTCTTCTTTTTGTTGACATTGAGATCCAACTAGCCTATAATTTTCTAAAGCAGAGGGTTTTCTCTCATGTGTTCTGTGTATCTTTTATTAATAATATATCTGAGCTAGTAGCTGGAAGGTGCTCAATAGTTACCTGATAATGTTTTTGTTGTAATATTTCAAACTGTATGTTTGTCCCATTATCTGTGCACAATAGAAAGTAATGGGTATTTTAAAAATACTTATGTAAATTTCTCTTTACACTTGAAGAATTAGATTTTTAAAAAAGTAGAACCTTTGCCTTTTGTGGACTTTAGTCTTACTCTATCAAATAATGAGATTTTTGGAGCACTTTGTGTTCCTATTTATAGGAACTAATGATTTGCCAAATTATTTTAAAATGGCAGCCCCTTCTGTAAGAACTAAGCTTTGTGATGATAATGATTATAATAATACTGATATGTACAAATGAGGCTGTTTGTATTCATTGGTATATGCTATGCTGTTGCAGCCATTTCTCTGAGAGCAGTCTTCTTTCTGATATATGTAGTTCATTTGCACTATAATTTTCGGTCCTAAAGTTTAGTAATTGCAAAGCATCTGAGTAGCATGGAGTGAAGAAAACTACTCAACTGTGTTTTTTAGTATCTCTGTGTTAGTAACATTTTAAAAGATTATAGCTCTTGTTATTAAAAATCTGTGATTTGCAACTGAATTCAAAAAATGCCTTTACAACTTGAAAACTAATAGTATGCAATTAAAACTTTAACAAAATTTCAGGACAAGTTAAATTGGATAAAATCATGACTATTATTGAACCAGTGAGTAAAAAAATGGAGACAGCAAAGCAACAGCAGTTTGAGGAGTCCAGGTAATGTATAATTAGTTAAACTATAGAAAATATGTATTTTCTTCTACTTTGCCAGTATTCCCTGACCAATTGTCATGGTCTCTCAAGTTTATCTATTAACGCCCCATACATGAAGCTAATTTATTGTTCTGCTTGAGTTCCTCAAAGCATATCAATTATCAAAATTTTTGTTTTCAGTTCAATTAACTTTTGAACTGGAGGATGTCTGAGTAGTTAAGTAAACCATCTGGGTTTTATAGTGTATAAGCTTGAATCCAATTTGTGGCTTTCCTGAGAAAAAAATGCCATATTTTATGATAATATTACATAAGTTTAGAATTTTAATAACTCATCTGCAGCAATTATGGAGCAGAGTAAGTTATAATTTTCCTTTCTAAATCTAATAATTAAAGGTTAGTCTTTTCTAACAGAAGGTGAGGCTGGTTCTACAGAACATAGTTTGAACACAGGAATTCTAAGCATTGCCTCTGCTTTCCAAAACTGTCTGAAGATGGGTCAGTTCCTTTTCTGAATTGCATGAAATAGCATCAACGTCTTCAAGATAACTTTAAATTACATACACAATAGTTGGCCCTGAAGCTACAGACAGAACCTCTAAGCTCTTCAGCACATATTTTGTAAGAACATTTGTACTTACAGACAGTAAATACTTCTCTGCTAAATGTATTTTTCAGTAGCTTGTTTCACAATAATTCATTGATATTATAACATGGTCAGAAATTTGGGGTGATTGGCACAGCTATAAGTTAGTTGAGGAAATGCTGGCAAGGCTATGAAGAACTTTGTGGGTCTTCCAACATTTAAGTTGTGTTTAACACTAGAAGATCCATGCTCAGGGTAACCACTTTCTTGGCTTAAGTGTAATACAGTACTCAAATTTGAAAGAGTGAAATATATACACAGCCTTAATACTAAAGGTTTGGTTATACCCATGATAAGGGAAGATATTAATTTCAAAGGAAAAGAAATTATTATATTGGAAACTTACAAGTTTTTATAAATTTCTTTTCTGCCTTTGAATTACCCATTTTAACTTAAGATCCAAATTGGTCTAGCAAATTGGTAGCTCCTAAAAGAGTAATCAATATAGCAATTTAGCCAAATTGTTTAGAATTTCAAGTCAGCTTTTACTAACTGAAAAGGTTAACTGATTTGAAAATCATTTTCAGTATCTTTAGATGAGGCTGGTAAGCCATGGCAGAATAGTCATGTTTTAGGGACTAGCGAAGCACTTATTAATAAATCTGATCAGGTATAATATCTTTCAGTATAACGTCTTTCTCAAGAGAGTTTATCATTTCCCGAAGAATTGTTTCTTCTGCAACTGGTAGAAGATAAAGGTCCCTTGACACCCTAACTTCCCATTTTTAATCAAAACATGTCCTGCCTAATGAGGAGGATCAACATCCTTTGAAATTAAGAGCAAGTGCATGTACTTCCAATGACAGCCCAGGGCATATAAAGCCTGAACTTCAATACACCTGGGCTGTCTTGTCTTTATTTATAGCTAGCTGATGGTGGTAACTTGTTTCCTACTTTAACAGTTAGCTTCATTTCATTAATGTTAGAAGTGTGATGGGAATGCCAGGGAAAAGACAAATAAGTGTTTTGGTATGTGGTGACTAAGGATTTTTGGAAACCTGAGCTTAACTAGACAAATAGAATGTCACTAGACCAAAATTTTTTTTGAAATCTAGTTCACCACATAATGAAGACAAGGAAACAGCAATAAGAATATAAGCAGAAGAAAATATATTATAATCAGTTGGGAAATTAGGTATGAGATTGTTAGCAATGCAGGGACAGACTCTAGGACTAATTAGTATGAATGACCCAGCTCTTCATGAAACTCCCAAAAGGTTTTTGTTCAAGTTAAATAGACCCCTGTGAGAAAAGTTGTATATAAACAACTTATAATTATCCTGAAGATGCCTTGAAAAATACTGATCGCTAAGATGACTATAATATTTTTGGGATGACTATTGAAATATTGGCCCAACAAAAGAAATTTCCTTGAGCAAAACATGAATATGATCAAATCTTTTAAATATATGATTTCTTCCCTCTTCTAAACTTGTCTATTTTTGAACTGTGGTGGGAAAACACAATTGAATACTTTTACAATTTCAATATAAATTTAAGAAAGTAAAGTTCTTCAATGTGCCTTTGAATTCTAAATTCAAAGATTGTCCTACGTTAAAATATCCTTTATGATGATGATAAATATGGGTTCATCCCAAATTTTAATTTCCCATCAGTAAAATTCATTTATGAATCACTTATTTACTAGTGCTAATTTTTACTTGATATTATTTGGTGCATTTGAAGGTATGACGACTGCATTTCAGTAAATGCGTTCTGTAATTCAGGCAAGTGAGCCTGGCCTTCTTCACCTAGTTTTGTGATCAGTGAGTTTCCTGTGTTACATGACAATTCATGTTTAGGTTATTCTGATCAATTTAATAACATAATGAGGGTATTACAAAATAATGATAGAATCCCTCATGGCATTTCACATTTGTGTGAAGCAACTGCCATTTCATCTTAATGTCTGTGAAATATTTTGCTTCAGTGGTTGAATGGTCTCCTTCCGTTAGAATCTTCCATTAGTAGGGAATACTTGAAAATAATTAGTTCTAACTTGGAAATTAAATAACACTTATCCATGGACCAGATATTAGAAAGCAAAGAAAATTATGCCTGATCAATGGAATTTGACCCCATTCTTGGTGATACATAAAAACGTTCTAGAATTTCAAATGGAATTTTATAAAACTGACTGCATACTCACGTCTCTCTAATTTCTCTTGATACAACTTAAGGCATACCTCAGTCCTTTGGCCAACTCCATGGGCATGACCACATGAGTGACAGTTAAATTAATAGATCCTATCCTTAGTTATTTCTTTACTATCTATTGAGTGCCTACTATGTGCAAAATGTAAATCTCTGAAGAGTCTCCTCCTTCATAGACCATGCTTCTTTCTGGGTAAATGTTTTAAAATTCTAGAAATTTATGTAAGATGTATATAACTTTTGAACCAACATTTTAATTTCTAGGCATTTATAGTAACACAAGAAAATAATTGGACAGTTGAACAAATATGAATGTTCAAAGATTTTCATCCTTGTTTATAAACAACACAAAAGCAAAACCAACAAATATATCCCATAGAAGAAAACTGGTAAATAAGCGATCAGTATGTTAAAATCTATACAATGAATTTCTATGTAACGGGCCAAAATAACATGGAATTCTATGTAATGGGTCAAAATAACAATGTGCACCTTTGTACATTTTTAAAGAAAGAGCTCCATGATATATTAGGTGCAAAATAATAGTTTAAAATTTTGTGTGCATTTATGTACATTTAAACATAGAAAAGGTATGAGATATATTCCACATGCTAATCATGTCAAATGGAATCAGTATAAAATAGTAATATGGTTCCTGAAGTCCCGCTGCCTGAATTTGAATCGTGACCCCACCCATTTCTAGCTGGAATAATCTGAACTGTATACTATGTAACCCCTAAATGTCTTAGTTTAATTTATACAATGAGTATCATAATAGTAAGTACCTACATGCTTTTTTTGAAGAATAAATCAGATAAAACATATAAAAAGGATTAGAATAGTGCCTTAAATGCTGGCCTACAGGAAGCATTGAAGGGTTTGCAGTTATTACTAAAATATCAGGGTAATAAGATTAGGGGAGATTTTTATTTTCTTTCTTTTTGCTTATTCACATTTTCCAAAGTTTCCATGTGGTACTTGACTTTATTCAGCTGTTGGGATTGAAGCTCTCCAAATCATGTTAGGAAAACATGCTACTTAAAAATCTCTTGTAAAACACTGAAGAAATAGATAGATATGATGCTTGTTCATTTTCCTGATTTTTGCTAGTTTGGGCTCATTTGGAAAGCAAATATTCCTATTTGTTATTCATCTCAGAACCAGCAAAATTTGGTAGTATTTTGTCTTTGTTTAATAATATTTACTCTGCAAGGCACTGAGGGAACAACAGGTGTAGTCCTGTTGACCAGAGACACGTGGTTTTCTATGATTAGCATTTAGTTCTATAACTTTAGTGTTGAAGATTTGTATTACAAAATAGAGACTATTAAATCACTTAAAGATCGAACTTAATGTTTTGGAAACAGAATGTTGGAATTACTCTATCCTTTTCCTGTCCACCTTTACTCACAACCCGGGACCTCTACCTTGGAACTTCTGAAAGAACCTGGTGAGTCTTGTACATAAATATTGGTAGCAGCACATTGATTTTCATTATTTTGCATTCATTTAAATGCAGAAACAAAGAACTAGTATTGAACAGTTATTTCCTTTATTTTCATTTCAAATACTATATCAAAAATAAACAGATTTTGGAAGAAACTATTAATAACTAGTTTTCCATGCCTTTATCTGAAATTGAGAGATTGGATTTTTAAAAATATGAATATTGGCCGGGCGCGGTGGCTCACGCCTGTATTCCCAGCACTTTGGGAGGCCAAGGCAGGCGCATCACGAGATCAGGAGACAGACACCATCCTGGCTAACATGGTGAAACCCCGTCTCTACTACAAATACAAAATAGTAGCCAGGCATGGTGGTGGGGCGAGTAGCTGTAGTCCCAGCTACTCAAGAGGCTGAGGCAGGAGAATGGCGTGAACCTGGGAGGCGGAGCTTGCAGTGAGCGAGATCATGCCACTGCACTCCAGCCTGGGCGACAGAGCGACTCCACTTCATAAACAAATAAATAAAATATGAATATTGCAAGTTGTAAATTATAAAGATAAATTCTTATAATTTTAAAAGTTTATTTACAGTTGACTTATTGTTGTTTTAAAAAAATACATTTCTTTAAAAGAGAATATAGATGATTCTTTAAAGTCCCTTAAGTGTGACTGAGAAACTCTCTGGAACTTGAACTGCTTAGAGACCTAGGGGGCTATTGATTAAAAGCAACTATTTTTTAGTTTTCCCTCTTTTTGACT